ATACATAGCCACTTTTTAAGATCAATAGATTTTAACTGTATTGATATCTCATTTGTTATAGAGGACACTAACAAACTTACTCATAGAAACATGTCTACATCTATACTTTACTCAAGTGTTTCATCTTATTGGGGTTTTTTTCAATCATGCATTGACAGTATTTTATAGAAATTTTTTAATCTATAACATTTATGAATTGAGCAAAATGATTTGATGAAAATTTGATACTTTAATGGAAACATATATTGTTGCTTTTATGTAACAACCATGTATTGTTTCAATTACTCGGAACAGTATTACTCAATGAAAAGCATAAGAAGAAATTGAACTAGAATGCATAATATTTTCATCAACAAAATTATTAAATAATAACATTATCAGCTTAGTTAGAAACTAAACTTAAGTGTTAAATATCAACTTTTGTGAACTGTTTGGAATCCAGTTTTAATTTAATATATTATTTCTTTTCTTCAAACAGTACATACTCGTAGGAGAGTATTCTAGAAAATAAAACTATTCAGCCCTTTGATTACGGTATACGCATATATACGTGTTGAATTTTTGCACATATTATCGTCGTTAAAATATTTTTTAGGTTCCATGGAAAAAACTCCTCTGTTTTCCTCTTATATTAGCAACATTTTTGCATCATCGTCCCGTATATTTATGTGTGTATTTATGTGCTCTTCCGCGCGTTTTGACGCGCCTGCTTCTCAGATTCTACTTCGTTCTAGTATGTTCTGATGTATTGTCTTTCTTTTCGTTTCTAATGCATTCTCTAGTATAAATGAAACTGTCGCTTGTAAAAAAGAAACGACTTATATCTTTCGGTATATATTCTCACAAAACCAAAATCAATTCATATTATTCTACACGTATCTTTTCTATATAACAGTTCATTATCCATATCTAGTACGTAAAATTTTTCACTAAATATGGCAACGTCTACAAATAATGATTCTCATGAAATCTAACAGGAAATATTGTACGAAGATCTTTTATAGTTTGTAGTCATACAAGCAGATGTGAGAAAATGCATACCGATACACGCCATCAGTGGGATGTTCGCGGACTGTCATACTCTGAATCATTTCTGAATAGTTTTATATCCTAATACAATCTATCTGAGACTGTTTTGGAAAGTAAAAAAACATCTTAATAAAGAAAACCATAATCAAACAGTTAGCAATAACACTTTTATACATTTATGATAGAAAATGATCTACTAGCGGAGTCGATGAATAATTGTATCGTGAATACACTTCTCACGTGTTGAGAGAGTCTGTATACGGTAGAGCTGAATTGAAAAGAGTATTAAATTATATTAATATTTTTATCCTGTATCACATTATTCAATGTAGATTCAAGTTTTGATATATACTGTATTGACGTCATAGCTGAATTAGAAATTCTTTTCAAACAAAATAGGAAAGTCAAACTTCAATTATTATTATGCTTTTCAATTCGAGTCTTTTCATTGATAGAATAACACGATATATTCTTACTCACATACTATGATGTTTATTGCCTTTTTCGAATAGTTAGCAAAAAAAAACTTATTTCACAATACATAAGGTTAACTGATTATAATAAAATGAAAAAAATGTTAAATAATCGACGTTGTTTCTAAGCCATGGCTTTGGAATAAATATGCTATTGAAGTTGTTTATTGACCACCACGAAGACGAAGTACCAAATGGAGAGTTGATTCCTTTTGAATGTTGTAGTCGGATAATGTTCGACCATCTTCTAATTGTTTGCCAGCAAAGATTAAACGTTGTTGATCTGGTGGAATTCCTTCCTTGTCTTGGATTTTAGC